CATTTTATTTTTCTAACTTAATCTTGTTAAGTAATGATAGAACAGTCATTTCAATTGTTAAAATGTGATACTTTTCAAAGTATAACAAATTTAGTATAGATTTCAAATTTCTAATAAGATTTAGGGTATACAAGCCAATTTTTCCTACAAAACCCAAATATCTTTCCAAATAAGTTAATTTTTATATAAATAATAAGTATATAATAAAAAGGACGAAATTACAATTCGCATATTTAATTGTCTAATAAAAGATATATAAAACACTAGAACTATATCTATGTAAAACATACTTTGGTCTCTCCCTCCCAAAAAAGTTTTTTTTTTTATCTTACTAAAAACATCAAGCGAGATTGGTGAACAAAAAAAAAAACGAAAACAAAACGCAAATCTCATTAGGAGCGAACTAAAGCATCAACATATACATTTAGAATTTGTATAGGTGAGTTTGTATGTTCTTTTTAAAACTTAATTCTTGTTTATGATGAGAGATCACTAAAAATGTATGTATAAGATTTAGATATTTGTATAATTGTATTTTAGGCCTTTTATATTATTTTGATAACTAACATCATAACAAATTGTGAAGAAAACCCTATTGGCATGGGTAGAACCACGTCCACATGGTGTGCATGTGTGGATATCTGTTTGTCGTTTATTTGGAATTTTGTTATGTTAGAACGGCAATGATTCAACCGTATCTCGAAACCACAACTCAAGAACATGACCATATTTTGTCATCAAAAGCAAAAAAAAAAACATGCTCACATTTAATCTCTTTATTCGCCGCTTCCAGATACTATATATATTAAATATCTTAATCCCCACATGCTTAGTTGTTTGGGATTATTTTCAATTATTTTCCAAGCATAGATTTAGCACGTGCTTAGTTATTTGGGCTTATTTCATACTTATGCTTTATATGATTCATGATGGGTTCATGTGTAGTAGTAGATGATAAGAATCATATAATTTAATGTGAAAATGTAATGAATCCATAGTGATTTTAAAGATTCCAAATGGTTTTTTTGGAGCATTGTAAACCTTACCGCAAAATTTCCCAAGATTGTATATGAACTTTGAAATACTTTCTTTCAGTTTGATTATCCATCCTTGAAACCAAAAAACAAAAGTTAGGTAATCCATCAACAATCCGCAAGGCCAAAGTACTGTAGAACATTATGTGTACGTACTACCTAATGTGTAAGGGCTTTTAATTTGGTATGTGGCATAGTTTAACTGATTTTTCCATAATGCTTGGGTCATCTTATCACGAAGCTCTTTGCTAATAACGACTACATCTAGGAAACTTGGGCTCACCAATCACAAACATTTACTATGCCACATATATACCATTATAACATAATTATCGCATATACATTCGCCAAGTACTATGTGAGTCTTTTCCCAAGTTGTAATTAAAGACTAGGTTTGGTTACACCATTTGTTTACTAGTAAAAAACAACCGATGAGATTTGATTAAAAGGTTATACGAAATTTCAATCATGTAAATGCAAATTTGAAATAGATTTTTTCTCGAGGAAAATATCTCAAAAGCATACGATCAAAAGCTTGTAAGCGAGACATTGGGACAAGTGGCAGTAAGGACAACTCGCTAATCTAAACGGTAAACGGACCAACATTAGACATGAGATTACAATTTACGATCTTTGACGTGTCATCATTCAGCCACATGGTCTTTTCTTATTGGTTTACATGCTTACATCTCAGATTATGTAGTTGTAGTGCCAGAGGGAAGATCTAATAGCATGACATGAGGGGTAACACGTGTCAACTTCTCGTACGTCTAACTTTAGATTGGCCTTCAAGATCGAATTAGGTGTACAATTAAGATTCTCCCACTCTCATCCCATTTCTTGATCCGTAGTTTCATTATCCACGTCGGACATAAATAAAATAACATTCAGTTATCTTATACTCTGTGATTGCACGATAAAACTAAAAAGCAAAATATTATTTTGGTAATTCTGTATTTATTAGCTATTATATAATCTAAAAGATTCAATCTATTTTTTAAAGTAGTATATATTGCACACTAAACCATCTCTAGCTTCAGTTTTTTAACTTTTTTTTTAAGCTAATTAACTTTTGATGTAATAGTTTACGTATTTGTTTTATCTCATTTTTTTTTCCTTTTTCCTTTCAAAAAAATCGAATAGTGACGTGGAATTTTAGCTTGGAAAATCAAAGTTTGGAGAAGGTTTGGAGTAATGAGAAGCACGAGCATTATGAAAAAGTGTTCTATGTGAGTTGTTCTATTTCAATGTCGACCACGCAAGGATACACTACACATACGTATCTTGGTCAATG